GTTTAGTATTAAGGGTTGGGTTTAAAAATATTTTGTAAATATTTAGAAACATTAGTTTGGAGTTATTTTATCACAAATTTAGGTTATTTATTAAAATAGTCATTTTTTATTTTGTCGGCTCCCACCTTCTAAAATCAAGTGGTAGGCGAGTCTGAGTCGTTTCGAAAAGACGCTCTGTCCGGATGGATTTGATCTATATGGGGAATAAGAGTACTGCTATTCCTTGCCTCCTTAGCGAGGGAACCCGCACGCAGATTCTTAGTCCTGGGTATGCGGGAGATACTGAAAACCTAGAAGCCGTCTTTAAAAAGACAGAAAGAAACTAGCTAGGAAGCAAAGGCTGGTCAGCTTGTAGGGATGTCTATCATGTCCACCAAGTCCAAACAGTCCGTCTTCATGTGAACTGCAGTACAATGGAACTCTCTTAGGCAAGACATCACCTAAATGAGTCCTTCCATCGCGGTATCGAGGGCTTATAGGCTCTTTCGACATCCTTGTAGTCCAAATCTCTCAACTCCCATTTGTTCCTTATAGAACCACCCTAAACCACCACTGTGCCATTATCGATCCGTGATGCATCAACTTTACATGTCGGGCATTGGGGGTCCACAGGGAAGTCGAGCTAAACGGAGCACATAGGGCCACCTCCTCCTCTTCGTCCTCGGGTAAATTTGTTATCCTCCAGCACTCGGCTTCAACGGCAGCTAACTGAAGGGTGTCCACTAGTGATATCTCCTTTCCATTGAAAATTTTGTCATTACATGCCTTCCAAATGTACCATAGGATCCATGGGAAGGTCTCAATAAGTGGTTCCATATAGTGCACGTTTTTCTTCTCCCAAAAGAGGAAGTTCATGTTTTGATAAACAGAAGTACTCGGGAAACCGGAAGGGACGGATAGTCCGATAAATCCCACATCTGAAGGGCGGGGGGGGGGGAATACAAAAAGAAGATGGTTAATGGTTTCCTCAGGGTCACCGCATCTAGAACAGCTCCTATCAGTGCCCATGTGCCTATAGGCGAGTCTCTCGGTTGTCGCAATACATCCTGTCAAAGCTTGCCACATAAAAGCTCTCATCTTCCCAGGAGCAGGGATACTCCAAACATGGCTCTGTAAACCAGTGATACTTGATTGTAAAATGTGAGCTTCCGTATCGCTCACTTTAGTCAACTATAACCGGTTATATCCTGATTTTACTGAGTAAACTCCTGACTTTGTCTAGTTCCACGCATACCCATCCATAGACCAAGTATTGCTTGGTCGCAGTTTGAAGATTAGCGGGATATCCTCAGGATGAAAATATTCCAATAAAAGTTTAGTAGCCCAATCCCTTGTATCTCGCCTAATAAAGGAGTGAACAAAGAGCTTTGGGTGTCCATAATTAACACGATCCGACGGTCTCGGTGGGCGAGCGTGAGTGTCTGGTATCCAGGTGTCGGTACAAACACATGTATTAAGGCCTGCTCCTATATTCTTTCGAATTCCAGATTTTAATAGCGGTTTCGCTGCCATAATACCACGCCAGCCATAGGAAGGTGAGTAAACTTTATTGTCTTCCAAAGGACTCGATTGATTATAGTATCTTCCCCTTAAAACTCAGGCAAGTAGGGAGTATGGGAACTGTATCAATCTCCACAGCTGTTTTGCTAATAAAGAAATATTAAAATCATGTAAATCTAAGAAACCAAGTCCACCCTGATCATGTGGAACACAAATCTTGTCCCAAGCAATCCAATGTAGTCCTCAGTTATTTTTGCTAGAGCTCCACCAAACATTTGAGATAGACTCTTCATTTTCTCCACACAACCTTGTGGAAGCAAGTAACACGACATACTAAAAGTTGGAACAGCTTGCGCCACTGATTTTATTTGAACCTCTTTACCCCCTTTCGAAAGTAATCTAGCCAACTACGAGGTTACGCATCTTTGAGCCACAAATTTGTTCTGACGTATTTGCCATTTCCTCCTTCGTTATTAATCCCAAGAGCACGTTTGATATCTTGCTTAGCGTTATGGTCGACGTTATTTCCAAAAATGATGGAGGTATTTGACGCATTAAGTTGTTGTCCTGACGCTTTTCCATAGGATTCCAAGATATCTAAAATTTTCTTGCACTGTCTCTCTTCTTCCTTGCAAAAAAATGCTATCATCTGCAAATAGGAGATGTGAGATCCTGGGGTTGGCACGGGCAACATGAAGGAGGGAGATCAGAGCTTCAGTGCACAATATTAAGAGGAAGGGGGATAGCGGATCACCCTGCCTCAACCCTCTAGTGGGTGTGATTTTCCCCTGAATTCTCCATTAATGATCACTTGGTAGGATACCGATGTGACACAACACATCAAAAGGTCAACCATTTTTCCGCAAAACCCAAGCGAATCATCAAGGTTCAAATAAAACTCTATTCAACCATGTTGTATGCTTTGCTCATGTCTGTCTTGATGGCCATGAATTATTCTCGAGCTCAGGTATTAGTCCGAAGAGCATGGAATTCTCTTGTGCTAGCAAAATGTTGTCGGTGATCAACTGGTGTGCTACAAAATCTGATTGGGTCTCTGAGATCAGGTCAGGGAGGAACCTTTTGATCCACTTAGATAACAGTTTAGAGATGATCTTGTAACTGACATTACAGAGACTAATTGGACAAAACTCAGTCATTTCCCTCGGTCTCTCCTTCTTCGAGATCAAACAAATGTTGGTCTGTTTCAGTCGTGGGTCAAATCATCCATCAATAAAGAAATCTTTCACAAGTCGGATAATATGCCAAAATGTCTGAAAAAGTCTACTCGTCATGTCATCCAGACCTGGAGCTTTATCCGGATTTATATCAAAGAGGGCTTTTTTATTTCTTGCTCTGTCGGTTCTGCTGTTAGAATATCATTTTCGGATGCTGGAACTTTATTTTTTATGTAGTGAAAAGAAGTATCCATGTCCGTGGGTACGGAAGTAAAGAAGAGTTCTTGGAAATAGTCATTCATTAAGGTAAATTTGAAACATGGTATCAAATTTGTGGTAGAACAGAAATTTCTCTTTTTTGTTTTTGTTTTTGTCAGACCTACATGACCACGGTTTATTTAAATTTAAATGAAAGTAGTAGTTTTTTTTTATTTATGAAAATTTAAACAAAATATACATTATTGATTTGATATTTATTAAAATTATTTTGTAGTATTTATGCAAAAACAATTTATACTTATTTTGATTCTTTATAAATTATTTGAATGTTTTAGTAATTATAATATTTTATATTGTTTGGACACATGATAAATTGTGTTGTTTGGAAACATAGATAGTAGTATAATATTGTTTCCATAATTACTTTATAATAAAGTGGTGCATTTAATTTAAAATCTTGAAAAAAATAGGTTGGGTCCGAATGAATGTTTCTGTTTTAATATATGAGATTGTAAGATGATTATGCTCACACATAATATTTAAATATTGTATGCGTAAAATTTTTCTTTAACTAATTATTGACTATAAAAGATTGAAAGTGAAATATTCAACCATAAATGCATAAGGGAAAACTAAGGATTTTCTTCCTTTATTTTACAGTTGACTATTTTAATTTTAATATTTTGTAGTCAAAGATTAGTTGAAGAATAGTTTTACAGAAACAACACCTTAATATTAAAAGTGTCGTTTACAAATAGTTCCAATAAATTTGTCTTTGAATTTGTATAAGAACATATAAAATATTATAAAACAACCAGAACAAATCCAGATGATTTTTTTCCATGGGTGCATAACTGAAACTTATAAGAAAGATAGAATAATAGAAGCATAATAAGATTTTAGTCATCTTATTCAACAAATATGGTTAAAATTTAAAATTGATACTAAAAATTAAATATCAAATTTTAAATGGGTGCACGTGCCCTCATGTCTAACCTTCTAATTTCGCTCTTGAAAACAATTACATATGTATTCAGGAGCGTACCCAGAAAATAATTTAACATGTGGCAGAATATATATTTGTAATATATATATATATATATATATAATTATTAATTTATTTATTCTTTAAAAACTATGTCTTGTTATTTTTTTTTAAATATACCTTACTCTCATAGGTTTTATATTTATTTTTAAAAAGGAGTCAATAAAAATAGCATTTTTATAATTTGAATTTTGTAAGTAATTTCACAAACTTTAATATTATATATACTTTTCTGTGAAAAAGTATTCCTTTGAGTTATTATTTAATTTAAATATGGATAAATACATACATGATAAAAATAATTTTTCAAGTAAAACTCTAATAAAATAACTTTTATTTGAAAAGTAAAAACTAATATTAAAGAAAAGGAAGAAAGAAATTTTTTTCTATGTAAAGAACAAAAAAATGAAAACTTGTTTTATAGAAAATTGACTAAAATATAATAAAATGTATAGAAAAATGAAAAACATAAACAAGTTAACGGTTTAGACTTAAGTTACATGGGACACTAATGAATTTTGAAACAAACAAAACTGACATGTAAGACTGCATCTACTAAGGAACTTATATAAATTAGCCTGTGCCACATGCCACACCTTATGAAGGCTTGGGTCCGACCCTGCATGTATCATATTGTTAATGTATAGCATAAAATTGTTTGAAGCAGAGACCCAAAACCATTTGTATACAATTTGGTGTGGCTTACAAGAGAAGGGGTCATTATAACGTTTGATAAGATTATTTATGGTATGATTGGTAAATGGTAGAGTAATTGAAAGTAAATTAAAAGTGAATAAATTGAGAAGGAAAGAAGAAGTGGTAATTATAATAAAAGAAGTATTATAAAAAGAAATATAATTAATAATAGATTAGAGTAAATGAGAGTAAATGAAAGCAATAAATAATAAGTAAATTTTAATATTTATGAAAATTTTATACAGTATAACAAAACTACATATTACATTAAGCTATAATATATTAATAATTTTAAAGTAGAATATATTAATCATTTTAAAATATTACAAAACACATATAATTGAATTTTTTCATAATTAATAAATATGTATTATAAGAAGAAAAATTTTGCTCACTCCTCAACCTATCCACGTAGGAAAGCGTGTTAGCCCCACATTTATTATTATTTTTCTTTGTGAGTTAGCTAGGTTTTTGTCTTCGTTCTTCCCCTCTTCTCTCTCTCTCTCTCTCTCTCTCTCTCTCTCTCTCTCTGCAAATGCAAGTCGGAGCCTCCAGCTATCTCGCTCCTAAGATCGGACCCCTCGGTCTCGCCCCCAAGAAGATCGGAGAAGACATCGCCAAGGAAACTGCCAAAGAGTGGAAAGGCCTCCGCTTAACCGTCAAGCTCACGGTTCGGAATCGTCAGGCGAAAGTCCCGGTGGTTCCCTCTGCCGCGGCGCTGGTGATCAAGGCGTTGAAGGAACCCGAGAGGGATAGGAAGAAGGTGAAGAACACTAAGCATAACAGGAACATTTCGTTTGATGATATGGTTGAGATCACGAGGATCATGAGACCTAAGTCGATTGCGAAGGAACGGGACTGTGAAGGAGATTTTGGTCTGAGAAAACCACACAGCACCATGAAGTATTCTGGTAGGAAAATGTTGGCTCTGAAAAAAGAGAGAGCAAGTGACTTTTTGGATGCGTTTCTGAAATCATAAAAACTTTGGAAGGCAGATCCAAGCGCTTGAAAGAGGTACTACACTCCCTTTTGCATTAAAGCTCAGATATGAAAGGTATTTTTATTGCCATTGGTTATTGTTGGGCCCGAATTTAGCCCGTTAGCTGAAATAATGGGCTCAAATAGTTAAAGTCGTTAACGGGCCATTATAAGCCCATTAGCAATTCGTCCCCCAAAGAAGAACCAAATAAAATCGCTACATGTTTGTTGAACGGGAAAATCATTAACACAAACAGGTCACGGAAAAAGACTCCGGACCTCATTTACAAACAGCTAACAGGAAACAGCTCAGGGAGAACGTGCAAGGCCTGGTCAAGAGGAGGCTGTTGCAAATCCCACAACTCGCGGAGGTAATCTCGGAGGCTTCGCCGGGAGAAGTTGAATGTGACCTAGGGCTATTTAAAGAAGGAGAGATCAGAGAAGAGATCTTCTTCAACTTATGCGACACCAAAAGACTTAGACACATTTTGTTTGTAACCATCTCTATCGATCATTGTTCTTTCGATTAGATCATCAAGATCATCTTTGTAAACCCTTTTTATTATCAAAATCAATATAAACAAACGTATTCATTCACACAAGTTCTAACAGGATTCAGCCCACGATTGTCTTTTCCCCAATCTAAACCTAACCTAAACTAGAGAGTGAGNATTTTGTTTGTAACCATCTCTATCGATCATTGTTCTTTCGATTAGATCATCAAGATCATCTTTGTAAACCCTTTTTATTATCAAAATCAATATAAACAAACGTATTCATTCACACAAGTTCTAACAGGATTCAGCCCACGATTGTCTTTTCCCCAATCTAAACCTAACCTAAACTAGAGAGTGAGTTTTATCCCTCACAGTTATCTTTTTAAAAAAATACTGAGAACAAGTACTAGATAAGTCTTGTTGGGAGGTTATCGAACAAGCTGACAATATCTCAATGATGGCAAAGCCAAAAGCTTATCTCAACAAAAGTGTAAAGCTGAAAAAAGGAGAAGTGGAGCCAAAAGATTCAAATATGAGGGACGTGTTTCTCATCCATACAGTTGTTTGCTTGAACAACAGTTCCTGGACCAGATTACTAGGTTACTGTCGCTTCACATTTGCAATGGAGGTCTGTGAGTTTGAGAAGGCTATTGAATCGATCGCTCAATTTAATAACATTCTTGGCATATGCCCCCTGCTATTGGGAATTCAGAGCATTGTGAACGAGTATTTGAACGGGAATGACTTACTTCGAGTCATGAAGGAACTGATTTTGCTATATAAACTACCCAATCAACGCTCATTTACTGCTACTTTCTTCGTTAGTTTTGGGGTTTGATCAACAACTCTGTTACATTCTTTTCATTATGTATAAAGGACAAGGTGACATGCTTGATAATCAGACATTCACTCTTGATCAAGTTTCATTCGCCGTGAAGGACTGAAAGATGCTCAACAACCTGTATGATCTCTTTCGTGCTCACCATTGTAGAATCTAACTAAGTATTATGAATATCCATAAAAATCTGCAGATGACACCACTGAAAAGGAATATGCAGACCGTAAACAAAGATGAAGATATGAATGTACGTTTTTAGTTATTTTCCCACATGTTAGTGTTTAACTCTTAATTTGAATTTTCTCACTGGTATATTTTGTTTCCTCTTATACTAACCCTGATGGTTAATTTGTAAGATGAGATGAAGGATTTGATGGACGTGAGTTCTGAAATACAAGAAAAACTTGGTAATAGCAACAATTTTCTTAATGGCCTTGACCAAGATAAATCCATGGGAGGTGGATTTTGTTGGCACAATTTTTTAACTGGATCACATAACTCTTACATGTTCGTTGATTAAATTTTCAAATGCTCTTTTGGGTGTCTTAAATTTTCAAAGGCTCTTTGGGATTACCGGCAGTAACAAGTTACTCACTGAGGAATAGTTCTTACGTTCTCTTTGTGGGGTGGAGCTGCTAAGATCTTTAGACCATTCTAATGATTTTGTGGATAAAGTTTTGGATATATATCTATGGAATGGAGATCTTTTGTTGCATTTTACTTACATGATTCTTTTAAAAGAAATTGTTGTTTTGTTTGACCAATACTGGCTTACACATGTCGAGTTTGATAAGTTTGGTGGAAATTCAATGTTGCTGCAACTGTTGCTTTGGACGATGAATTTGTTATGTAAGTTCATTTTAGCAAAGATTACACATTCTTTGCGTGACGGTGTCATATCTAAAAAAAATCATTAAAACTCCTCCATTTCTTCTTCAAGATTACATATGGTCATTCGATAACATAGTTGTAGTGATGCATGACACCTATTATACATTTCTTTACTATTTCTAGGTGGTTCACCATTAAAAATTCTTGAATATGATATCTAGTGCTCTCTCCAAATTCATTTCGATATGGAACTAAATATCTACGCCTATTAGCATATCATGAATCAACAAGATAGTATTTATCATCCGTAGATACATTAAACATTGATCATATTGTATTGCAGTCGTCAACACTCAAGCATCATGGGCACATCCCTCCCTTCCCACATAATAATCACGTCATAATCTCATATGGACAAAATATTGAGGCTAGCGATTCCTCTTTTATTTATAAATTAGAGACCTTCTCAATCTAGTGTGACCATTATTAGTACATGCGTTCCATCAAGCGCAACAACAAATCCATGAAAATAAGTTCCATATTTTGCATCAATTTGAAAACAGTTGGAGATAGCTGTAATTTCTTGGGATGTTCGTGCACATACATAATCCACAGTCATTTTTACTGCTTAAAGAACATAGTGAAAAATTTAAAAATGAATATCTTGTGAATGGCCGAATATTAGTTCTATATCATCTTGAGTATCATTTTGGGCACAAAATATTAAAAATATTGCAACACTCTTATCAAGTTTTTTGTATTTCGTGACTTCTAACACATAGTTCTCATGTCGTATCTTACATAATCTTGTAAAAGCCTCATGACTCATCCTAATAAGTGTTTGACATGAAATTTTTTTTCCTTAAATTTGACCTTGTATAATATGCCATCCTTTTCCATGAACCGAACTTGTAAATTGCTTACAAAAATATATAATGCTGCAACATAGGAGATGTGCATGTCTTCATGGCCTCTTCTTCTTCTAGTAAGATCAACTCCTCAATCTCTTCATCATTAAGATTTTCAATTCCGTTTAAACATAATTCAGCAATTCAAAATTTGGTTTAATTCATATAGAAAATATAGTTAAGAAACTGAAGAAAAAAAACATCTATCCAACAATACATATACATAAGAAAAAAAAATTTATAATTCACCAGCATCACTACTTTTGTCCATCATTACCCCCAATCTGTTAAAAAGTTAAATATTTCAGGAACATTTTCAGAATTTGATCCTACAGATCAACAAGTGTTTATGTCAAGTAATGAGGAAAAGCTAGTCTCATGTGATCATGAATCAAAGATCCTAAAGTTAGAAGAAGTTTGGGAGTTGAAACCACTTGATGTTTGAGAAGGAAAAATGTTTCATATGCCTTCACAGTCATCTTCATTTATATCACCTAAGGAAAATAATATTTAATCTCCAACAGGTCCTCCACCATTAGAAACTCCTCGCGCAGACTCTCCACCAGCTGACTCACCACCTAAAGATTTATGAGAACTCATAGGCCGATCCATCCAATCTTACATGACCACTTCCATTTGTGCTTCTTATCACTCATAGATTAACAAGCTCACAAGGATTTCAATATCCATCAACTCCGGATAACCTCTCAAAATGTCAAATTTCATTCTCTTCGCTTCTTAATTTCATAAACCCATCACAAATATCTTCATCATTCATCAACAACTTGTTTGTTTCCCACCCAAATGTTTCATTGGCTTGATTGGCAAATATGCGAGTACAGCAAGTGCATCACCATATGTCGATTTTGTGTTATGACGCAAGTGCATTACATCTAGTAATTATCCTTGATATTCCTCAATCTGTTGAAAGCTTCCATCAATTTAAGCCTCAAGATTGACTCTTCTTATTTGAACACGCCGTGATAATGATGTACTACAAACATGTGAAAAAGACCTTCAAGTCGTGTATGGAGGATGTCAACTTAATTCTCTTGCAAGACAGAACAGGGGATCACATAATTATTTGCTCATCTTCATCAGATGCACTTAGATTAAGATTAACAAAGTGGTATGAGGTTTTCTCATATTCATCTGTTACACCTAGATGAATATCATCATTGGTTGTTTTTTCATTTTGTGTGTGTTTGACATGAACGACAAGCATTTATGGTGCATAATAATCATCTTGTTCCACAGCAAGTTCATCATATATTCGGTTAAACAAATCTTTGAATGGAAGATAATTGTTTTGCAAGACAATTATATATTTGTGATTGTATGGAGTAACTTCATGAGAAAAAATTGACATAAAATAGATCATACTAATTAATGGCTACATATTTTTATCAGTATATAGTTAATAATGATGAACTATTTTTATATGACAAAACAATAGTTTAAATTGTGAAATTGCCGGCATCAATCCTCCCACCATGCTGCTAATGTATTAATTTTCTGTTATAAGATATCTACTAATATACATTGACCTAATATGTTGTTGTAGTGCCACAACCTTTTTAAATAATCCACTTTACCTTTCATCTCTGACTTCCACTTAAGTAACTATCCAGTTATTTCATAAAATAAGAAATAATATAATCATTTTTATGAAATTTTAAATTTATTGATTAATCAAAAGAATGTTATTTACAGCATATCTGTAAAATACTTCTACTTGCCTTAATCCAATCAATTACATTGTGTGATAAAACCAATGTTGTAGTAAGCCAGCCATCTTGTTATCATGCACGTACTTGAGAAATACAATTATGTTTCTCATATCCTTGTCGACTCTTCTCTTCATTTGATTGGTTGTCGTCCAGAATTGCTGATGCCTCATAGCATTTCTCTCTCTCTCCATATATGG